TTGTCGTAGTTCCATTTTCTCTTATGCTTACCTCCTTCTCAGTGTACTGTACTCACTGCTTTTGTGTTAGTTTTACATTAGTTATTTACTTGTGATTGTTTTTTTCCCCCAATATAAACAGCATGGTCATAGTTTTACTCTCGCACAGTGAATGCATTTTCTGTTCTTTTACTTACTTTCATCTTACGCTCTCTCCTTTTCTTGTCCACCTTGCCCTTACAGACTGGCAGGTTGCTACGCTGGCACTGTTGGTAGGGGGTGGAGCCCTGGTGCTGATGTCATTCTTGGTTGCTCTGGTTGCTGTGTGCATTGGCACGAGACGGCGGTTCTACGCGCCTGTTGCCTTCATGCTCTTTTCTGCAGGTCAGTATACACAAGAATACTGATGTATATACCTACCTATTGTACATACCTATACATACCTCCAGGAATAATTGGAAAATTTCAATTTTGGGGCATGAAATGCTTAATTTTGCAACGCTAGATTTGCTGCTTGTCAGACATTTTTTTTAAGATCTTACTGTGGGTACCAGAGAAATGGGAGAGAGCACTAACGTGTAATTCGTTCAGAGATGGTTCACAGATTTGTAGAGTCTGTGCAACTTGTTATAATTATGAATGCAGTCAAAGCACTAATGAAAAATGAGTGCTCATGAAATCACTGGAATATGACATCTTTATGGATGTGTGTGTTGTAGCGTTGTGTCTCGTCGCACAACTCTACAAACCTGTTCATCTTGATATACAGCCAAAATTGAACTTGAACAAGTACTCTTTTGCAACAGAGGCAGGACATTGAAATGACTGATTAATTATAATGATAATCTTCATGGGGGCAGCTTTACCTTCATCTGGGTGCAGCTCCTATTACTTCATGTGTAACTTGGCGGTCAGAAGTTTAGGTCACGAGAGGCACTGATGTCCAAGGTGTTCAAAATGTCTGTGAGGACATTTAGCTGGTGAGAGTCAAAATGCATCACTTCTACATGACGCTTTCAAAGGGGGATATAGTATTTTTGATTATTTAACACAACATTCTAAATCACACATTTTGTAGGCAAATAACATCAAGAATAGTGCTTAAACAGATTTATCTATTTGTTGTATTTGGCTGTGATGAGCTGCAGCACCTCTAGTACCACTAGACCTTGTGCTGTACTCAAAGATAATCAAAGATATTTTGCAATGACATTTGACATTGCTAGCTTTTTATATTTTTTAAATACCTCAATGTGAGTAACAAAGGATTCCTTTATAAGTATGTGTTGATGGGAATGATACTTGATCAAACCAAATTTCGATACTTTTTTTGTAAGTTTTGTAAGATGTAAAAGCAAATTAGTTGTTTTGCAAGACTGCATTTTTACCATTTCTTCACTTTGGATTTGAACACAACTGTTTTGGTCATTTAAACCATCCATGCTTCAATTAAATAATTATCAAAAATCATTATATGATGTATAATTTTAGAACCTGGAAAACAGATCAATCATCTGTGGCTACTTGTTATTCGTACTGGTGTTTCCATGATGGGATGCGGACAGCACTTTTAAACGAGCCAATACAGAGGCTGAATGTTTTGGGTGAACTATAAAGGGACTCTCAGTGAATAATGGATCACAACTAACACCTCTTTAAGACTTGTTTATTTTATACCACTTGTATACGTATTTGCATATTTTTGAAATATGCAGCCTGGACTGTTTGATTCAATCATACATAAAAAAAAAAATTGAATCTAAATATCGACTAAATACAAGAAAATTTAGAATGACCAATTTTGTGCTTTTTAAATCAGTTTATTTTTTCAAGTTTTGGGG